ATGGGAACAAAACGGAAATCACTATGCTGTAGCATGGTGACTTCCGTCTTCTTGTTCCCTGCATTCTTCTGCACGTCAGCTTTACCAGAGTGGTTTATTGGCAAGCAAGCACTTGCGAGTGTTAACCACAACGTGTCGAGTACCGTCACCCTGTGTATGTGTCCGAGGTTTCGGAAGCTAATACACATAAAGGGCAACACGGTGGGGAGGAGAGAAGGCGGCAGCAAGGGGTATGGTATGGAGAGCAGTGCGAGGGGGGCGGGGGCAGGGGCGAGATCCAATAACAACGCATGGGGGAAGAGGGGATGTCTCTGCATCACCCCGACATCTGCACGCAGTAGTCCCTGCTCCTAGCTGCTGCTACAAGGTCAAGAAGAAAACAAACCTCTTCTTCCTCCTCCTCCTCCGCCTCCCCCCAACCTCGCGCAGCTGCCGCCGGCATCATGCACTGCCCCGCGCTCGTGCTGTTCGCATCACACCCCCCGCCTCTGAGCCCAACAAGCAGTGCCTCCATATTCGCCGTTCAGAATCGCACGTGTATAATGCATGAAGGAACACGAACACAACGCGCGGCTCGGAAGAAGGGAGAAGCTTCAACACCCCTCTCCTCCTCACCCCACACCCTCGAACGTTTTCTTTTGTTTCTCTCACTATACTTGTTAAAACGTTGCGAAGTTACAGTGAAAACTGCAACACTGCACTTCGAATGCAGAGGGTAGTAGCGTGGTTTGCACTGGAGAGCGCCGCAACGCTTCAAACTTTATCACTCTCCGGAGAGCAACTAGCTGGAAAATAGCTTCATTTGAATGACGAGCGTCGTTGAAAAAATGCGACTGTCAAAATCGCCACTCGATATCCCAGGAACATTACATAAATTAAGCTAAAAAACATTAAATGTCGCTCTTACAATTAGGGCATATTTTTCAGAGCCGAAACCAGAATCAAAAGTAGAAAAGCATGACCCCCCTGCATGTAGGCAACTCAACGGTACCGGGTGCCAATGTAAGACATTACAGTACGATGGGTTGCCTATATGCTCTGCCTGCAGGGGTATAGGCAACCCATCGTACTGTAATGTCCTAGCCTGGACACCCGCCTACACCCGCCGGTACATCCCCCCTGTGTCCGGGAGAATACGCGGCAGCTCGAAGGGTTGCCTACGCACTGGATTGCAGGCGCCGAGGGCGAGAGGGGGAGCGGTGGAGGTGGCGGCAGGCGGCCGGTCGCCACGGTTGCCTCACGGCACCTGCAAGCCAGAGCGTAGGCAACCCTTCGAGCTGCCGCGTATTCTCCCGGACACCCGGTACCGCCGCTTGCCGGTGGCAGGGAGGTCACCGTCAACCAGTCAGGAGTTCGGAGTCTTGCTCCCCTCCTTAGTGCCCAGCACTCTTGTCTGCTGTAACCGCTCCCCAACGTGTGCGTCGTATCGTGAGCGCGGAGTTTGCTGCTTTCCTAAAGTGAGAGACAAGCCAAATACATTTCCCCGTTTAGCAGTACGCAGCCCTCCTCCGCCCCCCGCCGCCGCCCTCCTCGAGCACCAGCGGCCCGGCGCCGCTGTGCGCATTCCTGCACGCCTCCAAGACCAGGCCCTCACTATTAGCAGCGAAAGTTTTGCGCGCAGCTATGCGCGAAAGCTCAATGCAAACAAACTCTGCCCGGTGTTCAAGGCGGGCGCCGCCGCGCCGAGTGCGAACGGCGGCCGTGCATGCGAACCTGTCGCTGCCGCCTCCAGCAGCCCCTCCCTCCGCTCCCCCTGCCGCCACCCCTTTTAGTACACGACTCTCCAATTGTGTAGTGTGAGCTGCATCACCGCGCCACAAGAACAGACACAGAAGCAAGAGGCGTGGTCTCGCTCACACGAGCGCGCGCGCACCAAAAAAAAAAGTCTCTCCTCCCTCTTACCAACAACCCTTCTTTGAGCAGTAGCGGCTCTTGTACAAACTCCCCCCCCCCCCCCCCGCACACACACATACACAGTCACACCGCACGCTCGCAAACCTCTCATTCTTCTTGTCTCTGCCCCCTTCCCCCATTGTACGAGGGTAATAAGGGGTGTTATGGAGTCTCGCGACACGTCCCCACGCCACATGACCGGGGTGGTGCGGCGGCGGGCGGGCGCCTGACGGCGGCGGCGACCACCCCTCACCAAACACACGCGCGCGCGCGCGGGGAGACGCACATGCAACACACATACAAACACATGCACAGCGATCGACAACACTAACCTGGCGGAGGTGTCGCGCCGGCCGGGGACGGCTGTCCAGGAGACAACGCTCCGAGTCGCACCTTCACGGGGGCACTTTCAGAGAGAGAGGAACAACGACAACGCACAACACACGACCCGCGGCGCTCGCGGCCGCCAGACGCACTCGCGAACAACTGACACGCGCGCGCGCGCCGGCACACGACGCGCACGTGCGTTGGGGGCGCGACGACCACGATGACACCCGCGCGTGTTGGACGCCGCGGCGCTGCGTGCTCGGCGGGGCCGGACTCGAGGGAGGAGGGGAGCGTGGTCCGTGCGATCGGGTCGGGCAGCACGCCTCGTCTGCCGAGCGGGAGGCGGCTGCGCGCGCCGCGTGGGGGCAGCAACCCCCCCTCCACGGGCTGCAGGCCGCCCGCCGCAGCCGCCCCGACCCCCCGCAAGCACCGACACCCCGCGCTGTCTGCCGCCTGCCGCCACCAAACCGTCCCTTCCTCCTAAACTCACCGTCAGTGTAGGGTAGGGTTTTTCTTTCAGTCTAGGAGGGTGCTGGGCGAGAAGAACCAGCAGCAGACGGTGGTGGTGTGGCGATGACTGGCCGTCCGCCAGTCCGCCCACCTCATCGTCTGCGGTGATCTGCTGCCTGAAAGCATTCCAGTAAAGCTGAAATGCAGAAGAATGCAGGGAACAAGAAAACGGAAGTCATCATGTTTCAGCATAGCGATTTCCGTTTTCTTCTTCCCCGCATTGGTCTGCATTTCAGCTTTATCGGAATACTTCATTCAGTTTGTGTTTTAAAACTGACTGTACAGTGGCAACCCACAGTGCCACCCCGACTTCCCTCTCACTCGATCATCGACGTCGATCATGTACAATGTACCTCCAACACCAACGATCATGTCAGTGCGATCACGGTTCGAATTCCCTCACACATCCTCCCCTGCCCCTCCCCTCTTTTCCCCGCATCACATACTACTGTATAATTAAGTAGTGGACTTGAAAAAAAATTGACTTGAGAAATTACCATACAATGGACTTAGATGTCCGTTATAAAATCAGCTTTTAAATTAAAAAGGTAAAGCACGGGATAATGTGGGACACAACTACTGTTATTTACACTTCCTTGATACTGGCTGAATCGATTCTAATTCACTCAAGTTTTTGGTCAACTTATTTGCAAATGATTTTTTTCAATCAAACACACGCTACGTAGCTGCCAGTGGAGAGAGGGGATTGAATTTGTTAATACTAACTTTCCAAGAATTCACATTCAGAACATGTATGCTACCAACGCTTACGAACAGAAATAAATTAATTTTGACAACACTAGTCTCATGGTCCATCCTGTCAAATCACCACGTAAACTACTTATCTTTTGAAAATAATTGAGAGGCAACTCCGAAACCACACAGCTGACAACTCACACATCATGAGCATAGATTATTTAAATCCAGTAATAATTTTGCAGGACCCTTAGGTATTCGAGAAAACACCATGCAGCTCGAACATTAACCATCCCACAGGCAATTTTAAACTTTTGTTTGGTTGGACGGTTAACTTTACCTCATATAGATGATAGTTGATTTCAATGTTGTTTTCGTTATATAGGTTGTCACCGACCAAATAATTTGTCCATCAGGGGTCGACTTTGAGACGGGTCGTCGCTTCAAGAGTCCATAATGTCTATCGGTCGATTCGGCTGTCAGAAATCACTGTCTTCACAGAGAACATACGTTTAAAACACGAAGGGTTGCTTCAGCCACTCCAAAAGCAATGAAAACGAATAATATTTGGTCAAAAGATAACTTGATATTTCTTTCCCGATGTGTTCAACGCGAAACGAGACCGCTGCGCACAGCCGGGGGCCCGGACGATGCCCGCCCTGACTGTTGACTGTTGCACTGTTGTTGTTGACGTTGACTCGCCGCGATGCCAAGAGATGGCGCTAGGACGCACACATAGTGAGGTTGTCTCCGGCGCATCCGCACGGATCCACATAGGGAGAGGAGGTCGATCGTGTCGGTGGTTGGAAACTCCATTTACAGTCTGACCAGCGAAAGAATGCTTCTGGTTCCCATAAGCGCCCATGCTATCGGGAAGCATTCTTTGGCTGGTTCGAGTGTACTTGAAATTCTTCTAAAACCAATTTTTCTTCTCAGGCCACCAAATTTCAAATGGACTTTAAACCCGTCATTTCACCAAGTCCCCCACTTGGAGTTCCGACGTGGCGGGTGTGTCTCTAAGACCTAGGGCGTGACCATTTACGTTGCCGTGCGGACTTATTTCTACAGCCGGTTAAAGCTGCCCGTGGCCGTGTCGGTCGGTTGGAGCAAACAGGGTCGTTTGACGGAGCAGAAGCTCAGCGCCTGTGAGACTCAGGGTAGGCCACCCCGCAGCCCGCACATGCACTGCAGGCAGAACTTTGCCTACCCATCAGGCGCTCTACGTAATCCTACGGGAGCAGTGGTCCTTCAGCCTATCGGTAGGAAGCACAGGTAGTCGCCAGAGGTCGGGTTAACGTTGAGTCCGTATCAGTCCGCGGACTCTAGGTTGGCGCCGCCGTGTTGGGGAAGGCGTGCAGCCGCAACGCGGTGTAGCGCCGCAGCGCGGTGTAGCGCAGCGGGACGTCCCGTTCTACACAGGCTGACCTGCTGCATGGCTGCGTTTCTAGCGTTTGTCTTTCGAGCTGTGATGTCCGCAATTACGTTTAACAAATGCAACAAATGATACGCAGTCGTTTGCAATATTACTTAAATCGTTTCGAGGTAGTAGGTGAAACAACAGATCAAAGACGTAATCAATAACGTAATGACTATTCGCACCACGGGACGAATAGATATTTATTTGGATTTCTGAAACAAAATGTTTTTAAAACAGTGCTGTTCAGTGAATTTTTAAAGTTCAACAAATCAGTATTTATAATCCCTGATTATCTACTTACATCGTCATGGAATGAAAATTATACTGTCTGAATGTGTATTGTTGAGGCAGTTTTGAAGGAATGTCAGCTATTACATTACCAAAACCATAATTAGCTAATGCACAAAATTTTTCAGACCTTTCATCCAAGCAGCACAGACCCTGTCTTGTAAATTTTGATTTAAAATTCTAAGCAAAGGAGCTTAAAGAATTTTAAATAACAAGTATAAAATCTACTTAACCACGAGACTAAACAAAAATAGGATTACAATCAAATAACTATCTTCATCACACAAAAGTGGTATAAAAACATTCATCATAATTTGATGACGCCCTTTAACTGTTTTACAAAAATAAAAATATGCAATAATTTTCAGGGGACTAGTCACAAAAGGCCCGTCACATTCATATTTGGTTTAGTAGTTGCTAGAAATTTTACTCAACAAAAAGTATTTATCAAAACTTACAGACACCAAACAAATATTCATGAACACAGATCTTTTTCTTGTCATAAGACTGCCTTTCAAAATCACCAAAACAATAAAAATAATATTAGGTCTTATTTTACACTACTCAGTAGAGGAAACTGGATACCACAGTACCCATTGTACTTCAGGTGACAAGATCAACAGGGCTACAACTAAAAACTGACACTGCTCCCGGCAATAAAGTCCGCCTTGACAGGCACTTCCATGTACTCCTCCTCGTCATCGCCGCCCTGGCCCTGGCAAGGGACGCCGCCGCCCCAGCCTGTCGTGTCTCCGCCTTCGGCCTCGGCAAAGTCGCCGTCCTCGGACCCCTCCTGCTTGGCCACCTTGAACTCGGCGCGCAGCTCGGCCGCCAGGATGTCCCGGTACTGCCTGAGGGTGGCGGTGGGCGCGGCGGGCGCACCAGGCGCGGCCAGCAGCGCCTGCTGCTGCATCCAGTCCAGGTACATGCGGTGCATCTTGCTGACGGAGTGGCCGTCCGCGAGGCACTGGCGCTGGAAGCCCTTGGAGTTGGGCGGGATCCCCGAGCGAGGGAAGAGGCGGCAGTGCTGCCGCACCGTCTCGACGATGTGCGCGGGGACGCGACGCGTCGCCTTGCGGTGCCGGCCCCTGCGGTCCACGACCGCGCCGTCGTCCCGGCCGCCGCCCTGGGCCCGGTGCACCTTGGCGATGGCAGACTCGACCCACGAGTCCGACACGTCGAGCGTGCGCAGGAACATGGTCTTGCAGACCGGGATCTCGCACTCGGTCTCGTAGCCGCGGCGCGAGCTGGGCTCGGCGCGGAACACGGTGAAGAAGTAGTTGCGGGTCGTCTTGCGGCGCGACAGCTCCGGGTCCACGTTGGTGGTGCGGTGCTTGGGCTCGCGCACGCGAGTGTGCCTGGAGATGAACAGCCACTGCAGCTGGTGGTCGCCCAGGCTCCAGAAGTGGTTGAAGATGGCCTGCCTGTCCTCCTCTTCGAGACGGTCCTTGCACCTGTCGAGAGTTAGAGGAAAACAACCATGAGGTGCGTCGAGTCTCGACTTGAGGAAGTCGGGCCACAAATGATACTCACCTAAAACGGCACGTGTCGACGCAGCCCTCGCCGAGGTGCCTGGCGCGGACCACCTTCCCCTTGAGGTTCACGTGCTCCTTGCCCGTGTTGAGCGCCTCCTTGCACAGGTTGGCCCTCCAGCGCGCGGGCTCGCGTTGGCGGGCGCGCTGCTTGTCCGAGGCCGTCGACGACGACCCGGCCGACGCCGAGGAGGCCGACAGCCGGAGCTTGCCCTCCAGCAGGGGCGCCACGACGGCGCCGTTGGGCAGGTCCCGGAGACCGAGCGTCTCCGGGTTGAGGTGATGGCGGAAGGCCTCGGGGACGGACGCGGCCCCCAGGAGGCCGCCGACGCCCACCCCCATCCCGGTCGCGGCCGCGCCCAGAGCTGCGCTCACGTCGGCGCGCTTCCGCTTCTTGGGCTTGGGGGGCGCGTTGGCGGCCAGCGCGTCGGCAGCTCCGCCCGCGGAGCCGCCCGCAGAGGCCACCTCACCCCCAGGGGCGCCGCCGACACCGCCCGACCCCACCATCCAGTGGTACGGGGTGTCGGAGAGGTCGCCGAGGGGTAGGTTGCCCAGGTGGCCAAGGTTGCCGAGATTCCCCGACAGGATCCCGGGGAGCACGGACTGCAGGCGGAGCAGCGCTGGGTTCGGCATGTCCGCAGTCCCCGGTCCACCCGCCCCGTCCCTGCCACCTGCTCGTCCCGGACCAAAGTTAAAATATATTGGTTTGTTATGGAACAAGGAAGCTTTATCCTTATTTTACTAGGCTTACCGTCAATATGGGGACTTCCTGCATAACCAAGAGAGTTGTTGACGAGTGGACCACATAGATTCCTGGCTTCCATAGAAGAGCCAAGTGGCATGTTGTACAGCCTACCCTCAGAATTTCCGTGAAGCATGCTGTCTGAGTCTTTTGAACCTGGTGAGAAGAAATACTCCAAGACGTTAAGTATCGGCACTTCTCTAGCTAAAGAAAAAGAATGAAGCAGACCGAAGTATCATGCAAGAGTCTTTTTCAAGCTCACCAGATGATTTGGATTTGTCTGAATCTCTATTGGCAATATTTTGTAAAGGAAGCATACTTTCTTGAGATGTGGATTCATTCACAGTTGGCAGAGCTTCAGCAAACACTAATTAAAACAAAATCAAAATTAGGAAGAGTCGAAAACGCCCAGCAATAAAAAAGAATCAGTAAAAACTTTGTTCGGAGTAACAATCTAATAAATTTACCTTTAGTCTTCTTCCGTCGCTTCTTTTTTTTTGTCACTTGTTGTTCTTCAGCAGGAGCATTAGTGCCTGAATTTCCATCCCGTGTTGCCTTGGTGTGTCTTCCTCTACAGTCAGGAGCCACAACTACTCCATTGGCAGCTTTTGAAATGGCCGTGTCAACCCAGGAATCCGAAACATCCAATGTGTGAAGAAACATTGTTTTACAGACAGGAATCTTTGCAGTTCCTTGGCGAAAGAAGTAAGAGCGAGATGTTTTTCTCCTTGACCTGATTGGATCTTGAGTTCTTTGTTTAGGTGCACGTACACTTGTATGCATGGCTATAAAAAGCCATTGTAATTGGTGATTACCCAGATTCCAAAAATATTCAAAAATATTAGTTCTGGCCTCTTTAGTGATACGTTCTTCACATTTAAACCTTAAACAATTTTAAACTTTATAGTATTGGGAAAAGCAAGAACAAAACCATCCACTGACAAAAGTTGTAGATAGATAAAATTAAACCAACCTGCAGCCTTTTGATGCACAGCCTTCTCCCATCCTTCGAGCCCTAATAAGCTTCCCTTTTGCATTTATATGAGCTTGACCTCGATTCAGAGCTTCTTTTGCCTCCATTACTTTAGTTTTCTTGGGTTGTTTAGGTGCCTTGTCTGTTGTTGTTTCATGGTCAGATTCTGCATCCGATTTACCATAATCCTCAGGAAGATGAACAGGTGCCTCTGGATCCAAATGATGTCGAAATGTGTCTGACATCTCATAGTGCCCCGTTCTTAATCCTGTTAGAAATTCTTTCCAATGAGCTGCTGTTGGTGCATTCTTTTGGTTGGTCCCTAAATTTTCTTCTCCTGTAGAACAGTAAAATCATAAAATTACTAGAACTAGAAGAGGAAATATCAGAGCTAATTATTTCACAACAAGACACAACTTAGAAATTTATCGAGGTACCTGTGCTTTTTCCCCCAAGGTCTGATGAGGTTGAACAAGACACGTTCTGTGACGGATTACTGCCATCATTTGGATGGGATATTCTTTGAATAGAATGGTTTTCTCTAATATTTGGCTGCCCACAATCTAAAAATTCAAAATAAGATGACAGTTACCAAACTATATCCTCAGGTATTTCAAAATGAGAAAGCAGGACACATAAACAGATTTACCCTTTGTATGTCGGTTCACAGGTGCACCTTCATGAGAGTTGGGTAATTCAACCTGTTTTTGTAGTGCAAGTTCGCCTAATTGTATATTTTGTTCTCTTCTAACATTAGACTAAAATAAACAGAAAAGAAATAAGAAAATCAATAAATTGTACATATTTATCAACCAATTTAAATAATACTTTAAAAAAACAAAAACAGAAAAGGATTATACTAACCAGTGCAGGAGTAGCATTATTTCCTAAGTAACTATTATCAGTATTGGCTAATCTCTGGTGGGCAGAATATGTACTATGAGGGTAGTGAGCATAATGTAAATCATGTGAAGTTTTGTAGTGGTTAGTTAAGGGAAGGGCTGAAGTGGCTGCTCTCAGTGAATCCTTCTCCAGAAGAACATTTTGATCTTTGTTGTGCGGTTGTAAAGATGCCCAAGGTGGCCACACTGATGGAATTTCTCCAAGATTGCCTAGAGAACAACAAATAATTGTTAAGAGGGGCAAATATAAAACAAAAGGGTAGACAGAATGGTACATTAATATTTTACGCTCACCCATGCCGTCATTACGAGTAGTGTGCCATGCAGAGTGTGCACCATAATTTGATGGATTCATGGCAGAGTTTCTATCCATGTTTCCTAGAAATGTTCCAGCAATCCTGAGAACAATAAGAATACCAAATAAAAAACACATACAATGACCAAAGGACCATTCAAGAAGCCGAGAGCTAGCTTCGGCAATTAATTAAATATACATCAGGCCAGTGATATAGCGAGAAAAAATTGGAAAGTGTCAAAAAAAAAACACTGAATGAAAACAGAATGATTGACAGACATACATCCTAACCTTACAAAACACTCAAAGGTACATCATCGATTTGATATGAAGGCATTTCTGAATTTATAACAAAAGAGCTCAAGTAACAGAGGGCCTTTTGAAGAGTTGTGCAAAAAAGCAATCCAAAACACGACAAATTACGGAAATATGAGAGTACATAACCGGCCAACTTACTGATTTTGAGCCATGGTGTCTTGTAAACCTCAACAAAATCCAAACAAAAAGTAAAGGACAAACTGTGATTTCCTTGGCAATTTTTCTTTGTCACATTCTTGAAGACGGGTGAATGGTGCGACAGGCAATGATTGCCATTTTCGTCCTAATACGAACGTTGACAGAGGCGATACATGGCCATGAATGAGTTCCCTTGTCCATCGTGATGCATATCCCAGACACACGCGAAACGACTTATTGTTCGTGGAGACTGTTCTTCGTTCCGAGAATTTCAAGGTATGATTGCTACCCAAATGTGTTGAAAATTAGAGCTGTTTTTGTTTTCCTTGTGATAATCAACTCAAGAGAAAACTATTGTCTGCTCGTCACTCACACAAACACACAAAATAACAACACCCACTCCCTACATCTCGAGCATCTCGAGCATCTCGAATATCTCGAATACTTCGAATATCGATCTGTATCGAGACTTCTCCACCCGCGCTCGCTTAAATGCAAGCGGAGGTGTGACACTTTTGTGGATTAATATGACTATTGTCCAATAGGTCCAGTCTATGTGATGGTTGTTTGAGTTTTGAAATGGGGCAACAGCTAAGTTTCATAAAGGATAACGATGGAGTGATGTATCACTTAGGGCGAGGGGTTCACTGATCCATCACATCACACTATATGAGTGATAATGATATGTCACTGACATGATGCATCATTAGGCCCCATTCAAAAATAAGAAATATCAAAATAAGTGAGTGGTCATTTACTATTGTTGAACCTTGATGAAGGCAAATATATGAATGATCACGATCCTCGGGCCCAGACGCACACTGGTTCACACTGGGGACAGAAGGAGTTGATGGGTAGCACCGCACTGGGGCAAACCAAAAAATACGTGGTCAGCAACAGATAGAAGCAGATTACAAAAAAATCGAAATAATCCTGCAAAAGGCCTAAACCATACAGACACATTCCCTCCCACCATCTCAAGCAGTTCCGACAGGTATGACACTGGGGTGCCGGGAGCTCGACTGCGGGCTGAGGGCGTGGGGCGGCTGGGATGGTGCAGGTTCGCGCTCGCCGACGAACGAAGAAGAGGAGGACGGCGTGCTACTCGCCAGGGCGGCAGCCTTGTTGGGGGAGGAGCCCGACGACGCAGACGCCTCGGGCCCGCTCCTCATGACGTCGGCGGCGGCGCCCGGCTCGGGGCTGGTGTAGAACTCGAACACCAGCCTGCTGCCACCCTTGTTGTCCGTCGTGGCAGGGTTCGCCCACCCTGGTACAGGCAGGGGGCACAAGAGCAGCAGGGCTTGAGCCGCCCGGGGCCAACACCAAAACCAGAAAACAGCGATGAGCTTGCCAGCGCGTGCTCACTGGTGACGTCCGCTGGCTGCTGTGAGTGGGTGGCCGAGCAGGTCGCCGACGAGGACGTGAGCACGAGGAGGACGGCGGCGACCGTCGCCGTCGTGGTCGGCGAGGCCGCCGCCGGGTCCAGGGTTGCCATGGCTGCGGGGGCGGGCCGCGAGTGCGTCGCGTACGTCTGGCCCAACAGGTGTGATAGCGGGCGCGAGCAGCGCGAGCAAGCGCCGGGCTGGGCTGCAGGGGCTCCCGCGCAAAAAGTGTTTCCAATACCCCCCCCCCACCTCTTTTCTCCTCCTACTTTGGCCAAACAACCTCCTCAGATTGGCCAGTCTCCGAAAGCATGCAGAGGCGTGCGTGGGAGCGACCCAAAGGGGAGGAGGGGGGCACAGGGAGTAGTATAGTGAGAGGAGGCGAGCACATCTCCTTATTGCAACAATTAGGGTCGCGTAGTTTTGGCCGAGTCGCCTGCACAGTGACTGCTAAAGGGAACTTTGGAGACTCTCATGTAAACTGGCACTTGCTGGATCGGTGTGGAGGAAAAAAACATGGACGTTTGTTGTTGTTTAAGTGACTCCAGTGTTTAATCTGCACCACGTCTTTTTCTAAAAATACAAATGAGCGAATACAGCGTTTTAGCTTCTATATATAGTATATATGAAATAAGATTATGGACGTATAAATGGGAAAACGGGGTGACATTTGGTTTTGTCGAATTTTCATTCAGGTCATTTTTTCGATACTTAGCCTAATGAATGATGAATGAAGGGAAGGCGCTGAGGAACTTATGGACGTAGTCTTCCAAATCAAAAACCATCGGAGAAATGTGAAGTTGGAGGTAGAGTCGAATGACAGTCTTTGAGGTAAAACAACTAAACATCACACAAAACAGATTCATACAAAAGAGGGAATTACCAGATCGAGCTCGGAGGGAAGCAGAGTACAAGAAAGGGAGATCTACCCTCACCCCTCCTCACTCAAGGCAAGAGCTCAACGTCACTATGCAATCGGCACTAGTGCCTGTTATAACAATAGTAGTAGTACGATCTAAACAAATAAATATTTTTAAAAAACATTAAGTGTAATAATACGCATTTTCCTTGAGAACGCAGTTTTGTCAAAATCACATCGAGTGATGTTAGTGTCAAGCTTTGTGGTTGTTTGGTGGCCCACATCATTTTGATTTCAAAAATTAAATCACTTGGTGTCAAAATGACGTCGAAGCAGACCGCCAAACTGACAAAGTCTCGACACTCACAAGACTTGATGTCATTTTGACGAAACTGTGTTCTTTGGGATTCTTTCTTGCAACTTACTAATAAATTCCTATAAATTTTCTTTTTGTAAAAAAAAAAAACACAAGAAAAACAGATAGCGTCCACGCATAAAACACGCGACGCAAGCGCTTATTACACAACGTCGATCGGTAAAAAGTCTCTCCCGCGCGATGCGTTTGCCGAAGAGTGCACAATAACTTGGTCTTCCCTCAGACTTGCACCGGTGTGGCCTCGCCGGCCTCCTCCTCCTCGTGCTTCTTCTTGATCTTCTTGATGCACAGGCAGGTGATGATGCTGGTGTTGCAGAGGATGCTGCAGACGCAGCAGCAGAGCAGCCAGCCCAGCAGGAAGGAGATGAGCGACACCAGGTTGAACACGAAGGCGAACCAGTACAGCGTCTTGTTGCAGTAGCCCGCGCTGTACGGCCAGTACTGGCCGTAGTCGTACTCCGGAGTGTAGATCCCGAACGTCCAAACGCAGCCTGCGGAGAGGAAAATCGGGGAAAGTAGAAGATACACTTTCTTCAAGCGTCTATGTATCTTAGTTGCCAAGTGCACATCCCACTCACCCAGGATCATCCAGATGAACATGAAGAGTGACAGGAGGGAGAAGATGGCTGGCTTCTGGGAGTCCTTGAGGTAGCTGAGCTTGCGGGCCATGTCGATGGAGGTGGACAGGTGGAGTATCGACGTCACGACCCCGGACACGATGAGGTGCATGGGGATGTTGCGGTTGGCGGGGCAGTCGTCCCGCCAGATGGCGCCGACCAGGATGGCGATGTACGGCACCGAGGCGCCAAGCAGGTGGCCCGTCCACACGAGCCATTTCCTCGCAGTCTCTGTAAAAGCAGGAGGGAGAACGTTACGAGGTGCATAAAATAATTTCGACAAGTTCGGAGAAGGCAGAACGCGCAGCCATGCCATTCCCCACAGCCCCAGGGGGTTGGCCCGTTGGCGGGGTTGGCCCGTTGGCCGGGTTGACCCGAGCCCAGGGCGCCCAGGGACCTGACCTTTGCTTCTGTGAGGAGCGCGCCGCGGTGCGTGCACCCCCGATGCAGCGGTGGGGTGGACGGGCGGGAGGGGAAATTTCTAGTCGGCCTGCGTGCCGCACCGCGCGGCGCAGGCCGAGGTGCGATTTCAACTTCTGCTTATCTAGAATTGAGGACACATTTGGGGGGGGGGGGCGTGGGCGGCCGGCGTGGGGAATTAGGTATCGTCCAGAATGTACACGTCCGTTTTACTCAAGATGCTCAAGATTCATTCGTTTAATTACGCGGGAGCTCGGCGCCTGCGAGGCTCGTGGTAGGCCACGCCGCAGTACACGCATGCAATGCAAGCAAAGTGATGCCTACCCACCAGGCGCCATGAGAGCTCGCAATGTGGGCTTAATCTGACCGGCGATTGCGACGGACCTACCTTCTTGACGACCCCTTAGTCTGACATGAATCTCTATTAGCAGAAATCCTTGATAGAACATACGCCCCCGCGAGCGGAAGTGTCTTATCTCCCGTTCGAAAGCCACGGTCGTCCGGTGTGATACCGGTGTATACACTTTAAAACTAATAAATGAATACTCACTGTTTTCGTCAAACTCTTGGGACACGCGCTGCTTGATTTGGGACAGCTTCCTGGTCTTGACGCTACCCTCGGCCGTCTTTTCGACTTCGGTGTCCTCCACGGCGATCGTAGTCTCCGGCGGAGCTGCAAAACGCAGAAATGCCGCCAAAATAGAGTGTGTTGTTTAATGTTCACCCTCACTCAGAGGATGCGGTGTCGTACCGTGGGTGCCGTTCTTGCCGTCCAGCTGCTCGGGCGTGAGCAGGGCCGTCTTGATCTCCACCGTCTCGGACTTGTTGACGGTGCTGGTGGTGATCTTGCCGACCCGCTTCTCGGGCTCCGGCGCCTTGCCGAGCTTGGAGCTGTGAACACGACGGTAAGGCGGCGGCGAGCCGCTGTATACAAAAACACATCGCAAGGGTAGCGGCGGCCAACTTTGTTTTGATTCCGCGCGGTGACCTCTGACCGTCAAAATGAGTATTAAGATTGGATTTTAAAAATAAGTAAACTACAAGTGTTACAAACAGTGTCCAGAGTCGCGCGCCGCCGGTCGTGCTCCTCACTCATGTCAGCGTGGAGCGCCACCTGTCGGCGGCCCACGACACTAGTCCTATGATTGCTCTACACTGCGAGAACACCAGAAAAACCACCTACATTTTTTTTTTTTGAGGTATTTAATGTGTTAAGGTAACTATGGTTTCTCAAATGATCAAGATGGTCGGCAAGATCAAATGATAACGAAATAATGTGTGCAAATGCTATTTTGTTGTGTAATGTTTTGCAGTCCTATTTTTCTCGTTTTTTTTTAAACACTGTTTTCTTTTTCCTCTAGGAGAGGTCGCGGTCCAAATGGCACCACCACCGCCACCTACCTCATGGCGTTGGTGCTGGAAGTCGTCGACAGTTCCTACTTGCTGTCGCACCGCCGCGGTGTCGCCGGAGTGAGGTGCTGCTGGCTGCTGGAGCGGGGAGAGTCACACTGCTCCGGAGGAGGAGCAGGAGGGCGCCTGAGAGAGAGGGTCACAACAATGAAAACAGTACTGCAGCCGCGCTGCTGGGCGGACCGGAGCAGAACGAGCGTCGCCGGCGGCGGATTGGCGACTGGCCGACTGCCTGTACGAGAGTAAAAGAGGGGGGGGGGGGACGTAGCGTTATCAGGAGGGTCTCCGTGTGGAGGTGTAGTATCGCCGGACCGAGAGGCGTGGCTCACGAGACGCCGAGCGCGGTTTCTGCCTTGAACTTGAGCCGCAAGTGCGCGGCGCGCGCGACGAGAGGCTCATGCCCGGGCCGCCGCGGCCGCGAGCTATTTCAAGGTAACCACGCACCGAAGGTCGCAGCACGGCGCCGTGCCTCGGTTGTGGCACGCCACGCCACGCCACGCCACAACCTGCTATATCGTGGGTCAGCCCAGTCGGACCGTGCGGACTGACGGACGACGCCCACTCTGACGGACACTCGGCTGGATGATGAGGCGCTCCATTCCGCCGCGGGTCCTACTTTGCGAGCCGCGGTGCCCGGGAAAATGGGTGGGGAGGGGGTTATTGTGCTTCCCCGAGGGGGAGGTGGGGAGGGGGGGGGGCTGGCGTCTCCCGCCCTGGCTTGGCGCGAGTGCCAGGGACTACGGGTGGCACTGCGACGTCGTCGTCGTTACGGCGGGCGGCCGCGGTAACCAGGACCGACACCTGCCCGTCGAACTCTCGAAGTGGACGCGTCTCTGTCCGGGACGCGCGGTGGCAGCGCTCGCGGGGCGGACGACGACGACGGCGCTGCGGGACTCCGGGTGCCACGACCACTACCGCGGAAAGGGCTCCCTGACGACGAGGGGAAGAGGGGAAGTGGCGGGCTCGGCCGTCTACTAAACTGGGGCACCTACGCGTACGCGGCTCGGGCTGCACTGGAGCGGCTAGGCGCTCGGCTCGTCGCGGGCGTCGTCGGGCGTCGGGACGCTGGGCGGTCCGGAGGCACACTGAGCTCTGCGGAGCTCTGGCAGTGGTGCCTGGCCTAGCCTAGCGTGCGCGTCCACGGCGTCGCGGCGCGGCCGGGCGTGGCGGGGCGTGGCGCGGAGCGGCGGGGCGCGGGAGGCGCCAGAGGCTACCGCCCTCAGCAGCGCCGCCGCAGCGCGCGCGCGCTCCATGGAACTGGAGCAAATCTCCAGGAAAACAAGATTTGTGGAGGCATGTTTTGAGGATTCTTCCCAAGTATGTGGCAGTGTTCCAATGGGTAGGGTTGGCTGGGTATAAACATATAAAGGCGGAGAGGGTGTAAAGTGTGTCTGGCTCACGTTAAAATTACGCATGTCAATAATAACTTGACGAAAAATTTCTTAGGTATTATTATTTTGATGAGTCCCGTCGGTTGCTTCTTGCAAGCGATACACACACTCGTCCCCAATAAAAGGGCATGGGCGCCAAAAAGGTGAAACGAGTTTTCCTCCAGTTAGTACTACACCAGGATAATTGGCCGACCAAACTTTCGAAAGTTACGCCGCAGGACATGGACGCGTGATGGCGGGTTGCCTATTCGCTTGGACCGTAGGCGCCGGCGGCATGGCATTTGGTCAGCCACGATGTGAGACAAACTCATCGTCCTGTGCACCGCGGAACCGTGGATCTCCAGAGAGGACCTGGACCGAGCTGAACCAGTCAGCTACCCGACCGTCATTCTCGGGACTGGTTCTGAATTTATTGAAGGGAATTTGTATTTTGAGCATAGTTCTTCTTTAAAACTAAGGAGGCATTGTACATTAAGTCATTGTCTAAAGCAAGCAAGTGATCGCTACACATCAGAGTGTTCCAAAATTACAATCCGAGCATGCTTGCTCACGGGTTTGCGCATGGTTCCCGATCTCGGATTCGAGCAGAATGTGCCTTGTTTGAATTGAAATATATGTAATTTGGCTACCCTTTTTGCAAAAAAGGTACGTTTGATCCAAAATCCGAGATGGGAAACCATGCGCAAGTAGTGGTCCTCGCTTTCATGTTGGAGCATCCCTGCTACACATCCAATTTAAGCCAAAGTCGTCGCGTAGACGGAACCCGAAGCAACCATGAGCAAGGAGAGGAGGGTGGGACGTTGACATTTCACCTTCTCGGGGGGAATGACCCCACGGTACCCCTCCGCGCTACGCCACGCCCCGCCACGCGGTGACCACGTGGGTGCGCCATGTCACCCAGCGCCCCAGCAGCGCCCCGCCTCCCCTCCTCCGCCCTGGCCGCCCTCACTCACTACCCTCTCTTCCCGCGCTGCCACTGGTGGAGCGGCGCCGGGGTGGCGCCAGCACGGCGCCAGCGTGTCGCGACGGCCGGACCCACCCCTAGGCGCGCGGCGCCGCGCGGCCACCCCTCCCACATTCAACACGACGGCCGAGGAGGGCGAGCGGCGGGGCGGAGCGCGGCCGGAGCGCGGGCTGCCCTCCTCCGTGGCCTACATATCGAGGCGCCGTTGACGCGGTGCGGGTGCCGTTGGCCCCGGAGGACCCCCGCCTGCCCCGCCCACCCCGCTCAGCCCCTCGCCGCGCCCCCCGCGCAGCAGATTCCTTTGTCTGCGGCGGCGTCCTGGTGTGGCCGAGGAGGCGCCCGCCCAACCCAGGGAGCGGCGACGAAGATACTGCATACCATTCCTCACCTCCTCATACTCGATAACGTTTATTCCAGATTGGCTGCCCCGAGTATTGCCAACACCGGCGTCGCCCAGAGCCACCCGCCCCACCCCCCTAATCCGCGCAAGCGACATTTCGGTTCTCAACCCCCTACGCTTAAGGTCATGCCCGCGAGCTGAGAGGGAGTGCCTCCAACACCGTCGAGTCAATGAAAATAAAAATATGATAGAATTTTTCTTTTGACTCAGAGGAATTTCATTGATTCAAGGGAAAAATTCCTGTAGAGTAAAATCGCTTCAAGTTACAGAAACATTCTGTCATATTTTCCAGTGGTTAAATTTCCATTGATCAAAGGGATTCTCCGTTAATTCAAGGGAACAATTTTCAGCGGGGAGGTAGGCCACGACTCGTTCTCAACACAGTCACTCAGTTAATTTGTTATTTCATGCGAGAGAAGTTGGTATGCATGTGTGTAAAAGGTCAATTGCAGCACTCCCAGGAGGATATTAGGTCCCTCCCCCGCAGGGTAGATATGCCCTCCACACTTACGGGATTTTGATATCTATTCGCTAATTTGGCAGTGCCGACGGACCTCCTAAGACTTCACGTGGCTGGGGGGTGTATATACAGGGGATGCGAGTGTGACAGGTCGCCAGCGAGCGCTAGGGCAGCTAGGGCGCTTGAGTTGCATGGAGTGGGGGGGGGGGGCGAGTGTTTTGGCGTCGCCAAGTCGCGCTTGTGGTGCACGGAAAGACGCGACGAACGGGAGGCATCGTATTAACTGTTCGGCGTACGTGTTGGTGCTGGTAGCAGCTACGAATAGGGTATTTCACTCGAGGAAAACTGGAGCCAAAGGCGAACGTCATCGCTCCACACGAACAGTTTTCTGGTTAGTGTCTTCCTTCACTCTGATTGGTTGACGGCGTCGTGGTTCTCGAACCCGTCGCGCTAGACCGTCGCATGTCGCATACTAGCGGCGAGTCTGAGAACTTCATCGACGACAACCAATCAGCGTCGTGTGAAGCTTGTGGCTACAACTCTTTATAACCTACAAACAGGGTCGTGTTTGTGGTCGAATTCGTCTCGTAAATCTACTGAAGCTGCGAAAAGGGCGGCATCTACGCTGCACCCTGCGCCCCTGGCGTCATTTGGCGTGACCGCGCGTCAGAAATAGTACCGCCTACTCGACACATGAATAGTTTCCCTTGGGCGCAAAGCATACAGAAAGTGAGAGAAGGGGGTGGGTGGGAGTGGGGGAGGTCTCCACCTCGCATCGTACACCCATTCATCTGCATCAGTTTGGTAATTGTGTTGGTGGACGAAAATAA